CCCATCAGACATTCTGCTCACTTTGGAATTCAACCCATCCAAATGGCTGACTCAGGGGCACTGCTTTCCTGTAACTCTACATGCCTGAAGGCAAACTGAAACCTTCTTGTCACACATCATAAAGATATTCTTTGGATTTACCAGGTGTTACCCTAAGACGGAGGAAAAAGATTCTCTCAGTGCCAGGCAAGAAAGGATTTGGTTCACTTCTCTTAAACTGGGGAGACTACAAGCTATGGGAAGCACTCTAGCACTGGACTAAACAGCAAGCCTAGTGAGGTTCTACCACCAGGTGAATGGCCACCCACATTCCCATGCCATTCAGAAACTGGCTTGTATCCAAGAAGGTTGTCCTACCTCCACAGAGGGTAAGGAGCTCATCTCTACAGTGATGGGACAGGGGAAGGTAGAAAGCCCCCCCCCCACTCCCGTGTGTGTGTGTGTGTGTGTGTGTGTGTGTGTGTGTGTGTAAGCCATAGGTTGACATCAGGTGCCTTCCTTAATCAAGCTCAGGGACTCAGCCAGCAATCCCCAGGGATCTTTTCATCTCTGCCTCTTTGGCTTACAGACACACAGCACTGCTCCTGGCTTTTTAATGCGGATGCTGGGAACCCAGCATCAGGACCTGCTGCTTGCATGGCAACACTCACCAACTGAGTTTTCTCCCAGCTGCCTCAGCCCTTGATTTTCTATGGTACCCCCCTTCTGACTTATCTGGGGAGGGCTTTCTAGAGAAAATGCTGTGGTCCTGGATTACGATAACAACAAAAGGTTTACTATGAAATTCATAATTTAGAAATGCATCAGCCATAATATTTTATGTTCTGTACTTCCTGGGATTTTTATTTCCTAGGAATCCTGGCAACAGTGATGACAGATGGTGTTCCTTCACCTCTTAAATATAAACACAAACTTTTTCTATCTTTTAAAGTTAAACATGATGCCACCTGTCCTTCCTGATTAAACAGAAAAGTTGTTTTTTGAATAGAGTATGTCTAGAGCAAAAGGATGCTAGAAAAACAAGAACATACACAAAAACTTCCCTGCTGATTTGTTATGAAGAAACATCAGTCTTGTATGAAGTTAATTGCAATCAAATACATGGACTCACAACCTCAATTCTTTTTGAGACAGGGTGTCAGTGTGTAATGCTGGCTAGCTTAGAACTCACTATGTAGACCAGGCTGGTCTTGAACTCACAGAAATCCACCTGCCTCTCATGCCCTAGTGCTGGGATCAAAGGTGTACATCATCAGGCCAGGTATAACCTCACTTGTTGAACACAGATGATCTAAGTAATTGTACATTCCTTGGATGAGTCATATGGACAGAGAAGAAAGGAGAACCTCTGGGTGAATACACTAGCCTAATAACTCCTGAGAGTTAGTGGCTTTCAACAGCCACACAGAAAGAACCATACAGCCATGGGAAGTTCGAAAGAAAAAAAACAAGTGTTTTCCAGTCTCTTTTCCTTACACCCAGCCTGTCAGTCACCTCAGTCAACACAGTGTTGACGAATGGCAGCGCAGCCTTCTCCCTGAGCACAGGTTCAGTGTGCTGAAGAGGCCCTCGCTCACAACTGCTGAGATAGATGCCAGGACTGTTTCAGAAGAGGACCCAGCAGGTGACGGGCTAAGAGTCTGTCCTAGGCCAGCGTTTGCCTCCTGGAGCTAGCTGGGACTGGATCCCCTCTACATACTCTACAGGTGTCATGGAATGATGGCTGGCAGAATCACACATGACTTTTGCCTCCGTTTCCAGTGTCTGCCTGCTTAGCACTTAGAGAACAGAAGCACTCAACCCTGCTGAGAAGAGACAAGCCATGCTCTGGACAAGCCCATCAGTGTGCTCACCCTGCCTGAGGGCCAGAGAAGAGACAAGCCATGCTCTGGACAAGCCCGTCAGTGTGCTCACCCTGCCTGAGAGCCAGAGAAGTTCTCCCTGGTGAGCCAAAGTCTATCAGGTAATCCAAAAGGATGTTTTCCCATTAATAACTACCCCAGTCAAAGATCTCTATGGATAAGAAATAGACTTTTAAGATACATGCCATTGGCTAATCATACCATAGAAATAAGTGAAGTATGAAAGAAATAGCAAAATATGTCAACTATAGGTCATTAGGCTTAAAAAACATCTCTCTCTTTGTGTGTGTGTGTATGTATGTATGTGCGTGTACGAGTGTGCAATGCATTGGGGTTTTTCTCCCCCTAAGTCTTTAAACCACTCTTTTTTCAAAGAAGGAAAATACTTCCCTTTCTGTTAGAACCAGGATTTGGAACACCTCCCGCTACTTATTCTCCTCAGGATAGTTATGAGCTGCCCAAGCACCCTATCACCAAGCAGCTCCCTGTGGAATAAGCACCCATCCTCCGGAGTTCCTGCGGACGTAAGGTGCATGTACCCCAGGGCCAAAATTCCTCGCTTGGTGGATAACTGTTCCAGTTTGCCTCTCTCCATGAACACAGACATGCTCACCACCTGAACTCACCTACCTGCCAGAGATGACCTGTGCTCATCCATGGAAACAAGGTGCCTAGAGTGGCGTGCAACACCTGCTTCACACACAGCCAGTGGCTGGTGAAGGGCTTCGCATAAGGGGACCCCAGATGTTTGGAATGCAGCTTTTAATTGTAAGAATAGTCTGGGTATGAGGTGGGGATCTCGGCTGGACAAGTTCATGTTTAACGTGGTTTCGTATCCTGGGGATAAATAATAAGCAACTTCATAATAGAAAGCAAGGCTGGTAGCAATAACAGCAGCACTGAGCATTACGAAGTTTACCGTCAGCCATAAATATCAGAACAACTTTACACATAATATGTGCTCCAAGGCACAACGAATACTAAGAAAATACTAGTCATTAAGTTTCGGTTTAGCCTTAAAACACTTTGCTTAGACAAAAATCTTGTCCACAACAGCAACATAAAACAACAAAACGCAAAGCTGCTTCGATTGTAGTTAGAATTCGAGACCCGGTTCATGGGATTCCTCTGTTACATACTGAGCATTCTGTCTCTCAGTCCTAACCCCTAAGGTCCATCAAGGAGCTGAGTGGCTCCTCAGAACATGGCTGAGAATGTGCACATTGCCAGTACACTTGGCGACAGTAGTGGACAATACCACAGCAGCACCTCAACCTCTCCAACAGTTAAAGACCATGACGCAGCAGAGCTGGAGGTGGATGTAGGGAAAACACACGTCATCCTTAATCACAGCTGTCTGCCAAAGATGCAGGAAGGGGAGCTTATTTCACAGCACCATCTTATCCTCCTTGCAGGTGGTGGTGCCTTCTCTGGGCTTTGGAGCACTGGGTGAAACGACCTTCAAGATGCTTCATCCTTGTTCAATAGTCTAACAGCGCCTTTCTAGTAATGCTGCACACATATGTGTGTCCTGAAACACTTTTAGCAATAGTTTTAAAAAAACTGCCCCCAACCCCCTTTCCATCCCTAACAGTTCTGTAGGTTCTCTTCTGTTGTCTCTTTGGTTTCTGTCAAAGGTTACTTTTTGTCTTAAAGGTGAATCTATGTCTCTCTTTTAGCAAATAGTTAAGAGGCAGACTAAATGCCATCTCCATCTCAGCTTGAGCAAGTGACTTTAAAACCACTGTGTCTGGGGGTTTTGTTGTTGCTTGCTTGCTTGTTTCTTCTAGCAAACAGAACCAGGAACAATAGTCATCTATGCTCCCAAGCCCTCAGAAACTATATTTTTTAAGGGAAACGTTTTCCACAATTCGATCCTTGAATCTCACCTTCTGCAAACCTACTGGAGACTCCACAGACTGAAACAAATAAAAGGACTCTCTCCCTGGGCCCATGGCACAGACACACCTTAGACTTGGTGGAGAGAAAGAAAAAAAATTCTTGGTGGTTATGCTAGGCCAAAGTAGGCATTTTGCAGTCTCACAAACCAGCTCTTTCCAGCTATGTCCTCACCTCTGTTTCAGCTTTCTTTTCTCTGTGAAACTAAGGCAGGAGAAGGGAAAAAAGGAAGAAAGAAAGAAAGAAAGAAAGAAAGAAAGAAAGAAAGAAAGAAAGAAAAAAAGAAAGAAAGAAAAGTTCAACTAGATACACCCACAGGAAATATTTGGATAATTCTATAATAACCTGAGGTACATAAAGGTTAAAAAAAATGAGCTCATTCTCTAAGCTTCTGAGACTGAAGGTAAGTCAATCCCAGACTGCTGGGCTAGGAGAAGCCTTAGGTGTTAACTTGTCCGGCACACTCACCTCACGAACGGCTGAGTGTCTTGAAATAGTTAACTCCTATCCAGACACTCTAGCATGGACTGACGTCCAGACCACACATCCTGACTCCTAGAACAAGGTGGTTTCCATGACACTCAACATGTTGCTGGCAGTTAGAAGCTCCTGCTGGGACTGAGAAGCGCAATAAAGACACATTCCTGGTGTCCAACAACCCCATAAATGCATCCAAAGCAAGAACACATACTGCTCAGATTCACTGCGAGGCTCACACCCCTGGTGCGGTAGATAGAGACTTACAGGGTCGCTGCGTAGCCATCAAAACCAAGAGGTTCCCATTTCCCCTGGTAGTGACAACTAGATCCAGACACAGCCGAGGGATGGGAAGGAAAAACACCTTTCACCTCTAATGTCTTTGGAGCAGGAAGAGATCAAAGCTACCCAGTGGCGCAGGGACCAGAGCTGCAAGAACGATCTACTGCCATACTGTTCCTTTTTTTTCTTTTTTTTTTTGTCAAGAGTGTTCTCTGCGGTTTACAAGTCTGGTTACTGAGAATGTGTGGGCCACATCCTCTGCAAGCGTGAACCCCCGCAGCTTAGTTGACAACAAAGTTAGTTCTCCCCGAGGAGCAGGTCCACGCGCCCAGGTCCTCGCGGAAAAACCCGCCTCTCTCTGGTTCCCAGAGGCTCAGATGCAACCCACGCACCGCCACGCGCAACGTGCACCCAGGGTCCCCTTCGCCCTCCCTCGCCTCCACCACACCCTCCGGAGACCGTGCCCATCCCGGCGCCCACCTGCGGTGGTCGGAGCGCGCTCCCGCTCCCGCTCCCGCGGCGCGCTCCTCGGCGCCTCCATGCGAGCTGCGCGCCTCCACCCGCGCACCCTCCTCCCGGCTACAGCACCGCGACCAGCTCGCTTCCCGGCAGCCGCAGTCCGGAGCTCTACAATGGTGAAAGCCGTCCGTGATCCCGCCCCCCAGCAGACAGACACGCGGCGCAGCCACTCAGAACCTGGGACGGGCTCTGGGGGCGGGGCCTCCGCCTAGCAAGGTCCGAGTGGAGGGCGCCGGGAGGTGGAGAGCTCGGGAGCCCAGCCAAGCCCTGCGGTGGCGTTGGCCCTGTCCCCGGAGCTGCTCCTCCCGGCACACCCCAGGGCGTCACCTGCTGGAAGTTCTGCACCGACGGGCCGATGCCGCTCACCGGCCCAGGACACTGCGGTGCCTCGATTCCCTATTCACCACGGAATAAACCCGCACTGTGTGCGCCAGAGAGCGAGAGAGTGGAATCCAGAAGCAGCTGCGCCCCGGGGCGTGTTCCACTACGTGGGGCAGGCTTCCTCGTCTTTCTCCGTGGGTCAGCGGAACCGGCTAACGCGTGCTTGGAACTATTTAGGGACGGGACAAGTGCCTTCTTGACAGAAAGTGGTTCCATAAAATAATTTATCAAAAGCTAAAAAAAAAGCAAACTGCTAACCGGAAAAGTAAATGACCTAACAAGAAAAAGGAAAAACAAAACAAAACAAAAAAACAAACAAAAAAAAACCCCCACAAGATCCAGTCGTTCCTAATTTCTTAATTTAATGGACTCCTTTTTTTCCGCCAGAAGAAAAAGGAAGAAAATTAAAATCCAACGAGTACTTCCTTTTTCTCGAGTGTAGACAGATTCTAGATACAAACAGACTAGCATACGGAATATTCTGTCAGTCTCTGGAAAAATAAGCTCCATAACTAAAGAAAGATGTGGAAACAGCCTGGAATGTCATGTGAGTTAACAGCCTCAGGACAACGTCAGCAAATTATTGAAACATTGCAAGCCTTTCTGGGCCTCAGAACAAAGGATCAGAGCGTCGTAGTCTTTAATCATGCCTCCGAAATCCCTGTCAGACCACGAGCCCATGACTCGATGCCAGGCAATTAGGAGAGCTGCCACCTGACATGCGCCCCACATGTGCATTTTACCCGTTGGTGTGCTTCACTAATCGCCGCACTTGCCCGGGGGGCTGGTAGTGTAACCCCAGTTCTCTGAGGCCCATCGAATGCTAGCACAGAATTCAGACCGAGGTCTGACCTCAGTCGCTCAAACATTTTCCAGCACAAGATTCATAGAAGGCCATAAAATGCTTCCAAGCTCACTGCGTGTTTAAATATCTCCTGTCCAACTCGGACATTTGACGTTGAGGGGGGTAGTTTTCTATGGCCATAAACCATCCTTGTGTATATAGGGGCACACTGCTCACACAAAATTAATGAGTGAAGACTGTTGGGCCTGTTTACCCTAAACAAGGTTATGAGCAGTGACCAGAACAAATTGTCTGATCTAGAAACTGAAAGAACCGACTCTAATTTCTTGTGGTATGATAAAATTTACTGGAGTCCCTCAACTACAAAACAAACTAGCCACCAGTCTTCCTCCCCTCCTCCCACAAAGTATTTATGAACACTGTTGTTTAGACTGGCCTAAAATCCCTTCAGTTGGTCCACATTTAAGATTTCATGGTTGTGTCTCTAAAGTTCCCTTCTGTTCCCCAAGCTGAGCGGGTAGCCTTTTAGGGCAGTACTGAAAGACATGAGCCAGACCACCAGGCTTGACTGGGCATCAGCTGCATGGACTTCATAAATTAACATGTTTTGTGCCTCAGTTTCCCCAACTGTAAAATGGAGCCCATAGGACTGTTTTGTGAGGGTTCTCTTTTTCATGGGAATTGAATGTGGGAAACCCCTTTGGAACGATGTTCCTCATATAAACAATTACATTAACATGAATTAAAGCGTAGAGATGGCTGAGTGGCTTTCTAATCTACTCTTGTGCAATTTACCATACCTTAACAACAGTGAGACTGGATGCTTTCGGTTTTTACAAAAGAGCTCATGCACTGTTTGTAGGACAGAACACTAGTCAAGAATCCATAGTACTCAGCTCAGAACTTGGGTATTTGGGAATGCGCATGCTGAGGCTAAAGACTCTACTCCTGTCTTCTCACAAATCCCGTCAGTCACCAAGATATCCACTTGAGAATGCTCATAGGCACAAATGTGCCTACAGCCATGCTCAGGGACCTTAACCATTATGCTGGAACCGTTTCGCTGGAGCCGTCGGAATGGACAGCTAGGCAAAGGCTGTGCACGTTGGCTGCTAGACAGGTGCTGCACAAAAGAGAGGCGGGAGGACAGGGAACAAGGGGAACAGTTCCCAGCAACTGTCTCATTGGAGTTTTTGTTTTCATGACCACTTGAAGGCTGAAGATGGAATGTGAATGCCCAGGACCGTTGAAGACGTTGCCAAACGTGCTTTCCCATTGTTATGTCAAACCATGCATTTTACTTAGGGTCACTTATTCATATTATGGGCGGCCTCAGGCTAGAACAAGGTGACCTTGATCACGAGAGCAGTGAAGCCCATTGCACTTTGTCCCTGTAATCATTACAGTTTCCACTGAAAGTTTCCTTGGTAGACTTATTAGCCAGTAAGTGAGTCAGCTACCTTTAAGAACCAACTCCTACGTTACACACCTTCCAAGAGTCCTTTCTTTTATTTTTAGCTAAACCTTGATAAGGTGTGCTGTGCATCCACAGAGGAATTCCTGTCCATTTCTGCCTTTCAATCATTCCTTAACCTTGAATCAAGCACACCCCTGACTGTGTCTATTACTTTTCTTCTTAAGTTATGATCCCAAATGGAGCATGTTCACATAGGTATCCCGAACTGAGCATGCTCAGGGGTGTGCCCACTGCTAAGAGTCTTCCTTTAGGAATATGTAAAAGCCCATGAAATAAAAAGCTCCACACTTCCTTTGTTGGAGAAGGGCATTGCTTTGAAAATAGGCCCCAGGAACCCCTTACTTGTTCTAGTGATAAGCCATTCTCCACTCTTCTTGGCTATGCTTCATCTTTGAACTCACCAACATGTGAACTCATTGTGTCTGGTTACAGACCAGCTTGCACTTAAACATTTTCCTCTACTGGGAAATTTGCAAAGAGAGATGCAGGGTCCATTGGTTCAATTTGCATACTGAGAACAGAACATACAATGGACTTCCTTAGTATTCGAGGAATGAATTCCTCGAGTGAATGTGTGAGTGCAGGCAATTATCAGGCTTCTAACCAAGTAATAGTGAAAAGTCCTAGCTTATCCTCACATCCAGCTCTCTCAGCTCTAATCATTGTATTTGTGGGTGTGGCAAATAAGTGAACATAAAATATATTATTTTAATGGACTGCTAAGATGGCCCAGCCTGTAAAGACACTTGCTGAAATGCCTATGATCTGAGATCAATCCCTGAGACCCAAGTGGTAAGAACAAACCCACCCCTTCACTGACTTCCACACAGTGCTCTATGGCACACCTGTGCACAAACACACACAAAATAAGCAAATATATGTAATAAGAAACTTTAAAAAAGTATCCGTTTGACTGTGTGTGGGTATATGGTCCACTGGCATTCAGAACATTCACATTAACCAAGTGTGGTGCAAGCCTTCATCCCAGCACTCAGGAGGGTTAGGTAGGCAGAATTTCTATGAGTTCAAGGACAGCCTGGTCTACATAGCAAGTTCCAGGCCAGCCAAGGCTACATGGTGAGACCCTGTCTCAGACAAGAAAAAAATAACATTCTGAAATGCAACTATCACCAACCATCTACTTCCATAATTTTTTTCGTCTTCACATATGGAAAGCTGATACCCTCTAAACATTGACTTCTCATTGTTCCCTCCTTCCAGTCCTGGCAATTATCACTGTATTTCCTGTCTTGATGAGACAGGAGGATCATACAAAGTCTGTCCTTTTGTGACTAAGTTCTCCTTTTTAGCATGTCTCCTAACTTTATCAACATTGTGGTATGTCTGAGAACTTCATTCTTGGGATGTATAATATTTCCTCCTATGCAAATGCCATATCTTGTTCATTCATTCCATCAATAGACACTTTTTGGTCATTGTACAAAATACTTCTGTGAACAGGGGCGGACACACACCTCTCTGAATCTGATGTTTTTGCAGCCCCAGAATGAGATTATCAGGAAATATGATATGCAGAAATTCCTGAGAAATCACTATATAGTGTCCCATGGTAGAAAACACTTCCAACAATGGATGAAGGTTCTAATTGCTGTGTTTTCTTTCCTACACTTGTCATCAACATCATCATTGTTGTCATTGTCATCGTCATCGTCATCAACATCTCCATCATCTCAGTACTGAGTCACTCCAGGGCCTTGAGCTTAATAGGCAGATGTGTTTCTGAGCTACACCTGCTCCTTGCATTAATTAATATTTTTTAATGATAGCTAACCTACCAAATGTAAGGTGATAGTTCCTTGTGTTTGGGATGATGGTTCTCTAATGATGCATTGAACATGTGCTTACTGGTTTTAGAATTGTCAGATCTTTGGACCATTCACTGACTTTACAAAATGTCATCACTTGATATTTCTGCACCTGAGAATTTGGGAAATTCTTTTGTTTCCTTCCTTGCATTCTGTGTTGTGTCTTATCATGTTATTTTTTATTTACCTGGAGTTCCCGAATGACTGCAGAATCTTCTATACAAGTATCAGTTAGGGCCAATGTGTTTGTACTAGAGAGAAGTGTGTAAGTTGGTAATGATGACAATAATCCTACCAAAAGGTAACCTGGTTCTTGCAAGAGTAGCCTCTACAAGTGTTACCTCTTTAATCCTCCAGCTGATAATCACTATCGCTAGCCCCAGTGATAGACAGAGAATGGAAGCACAAAGGGTTTACTGTCTCATGCCCTAGGTCATCTATATAACCAGAACAGTCTAGGACTTGAACTGTGCCTTCGAGGCCACATGGAAAGCATTCCCCCAAAGTGTAAACCTTTCCCAGGTTCTCAACTATCTCTAAAACCCACACATAATCTTCTTCCAAGTTGACCAGTAACTAGGAGAAGCCTGGAACACCCAGCAATGCACCTGTCCAGGAGTAGGTGATAC